TAATGTCACATATTACGGGATTCATGATAATCCTAAAATACGGAAAGAAAGACATTTTATCATGTAGTTGGTACAATTCAGTGAGGACAATATTTGCACCTATTCATGCACCAAATAATATGACATCCATTAGTTTTACACTTTATCAGCTCCCACATGTAAGAGAAAAGGTGATAGTTTTCCTTCTGTGTCTGGTTTGTTTTGCTTATGATGACTTCCTGCCGTATCTGTTTTGTTGAAAATGTTAGGATTTCATATTTTTTGATATTCCACTGTGTATTTATAGTATGGTTTCTTTATCCAGTCACCACGTGATGGACAGCTAAGGTGATTTCTATCTTTGCTTCAGTGACCTGGCTGCTGTCGACATGGCAATACAGGCATCTAATTCTTGAGCTTACCTCACTGTGCGTGTAAATTCCTAGAGGTGGGATAGCTGCATAATGCACTGATTATATTTTCAGTTTTTTTCCCCCAGTAATCTCTATATTGTTTTCCATGCTGGTTGTACTAACTTGCATTCCCTTCAATAATGCACGCTTTCTCCACATACTTGCCAGTATTTGTTACTTTCTGATTTGGGGTAGTAGTTATTCCAACTGGAGTAATTTTTCACTGTGGTTTCTACTTGCGTTTCACTTGTAGCTATTGATCCTAAGCATTTTTAAAAAAAATATGTCTGTGGGCCATTTGTATTTCTGCCTTTGAGAAATGTCTATTTATATAAACTATATTGTAGTTTTAAACAATTTATAGATTCAGTGCACTGTCAACCCAACACTCCAGGGCACTCTTCACAGACCTAGAAAAACAATCCCAAAACTCTTCTGGAAACACACACACAGAAACTCTGAATAGTCAAAGGAATATTGGTTCACTCCCAACCCCGGGTCTCACGTGTGCTGGTTGGGTGCTGTGGCCCAGTCTGGCACAGCCTGCCTCACCTCGGTGTTTGCCAGTGGGTGCTATAGCCTGGAAAATGAAACCAATGTATCATAATATCAGATTTCAAGACACATGGCAGGGCTATTAGAACCAAAACAACATGGGATGGGCTTAAAAATGGACATGTAGGCAAATAGGACAAAATAGACATCCCCTAAGTAAACCCATGCATCTTTGATATGGGCTCCTTATTACTGATTCAAGGTCACGTTTTCCTAGGGATGGGCTTGAGGAGAATGTATATTTTTTGTACGAGCCCCATTTGTTCTAAAGTGTTATTTTATTGTTTAATGTTTGCTTTTTTCTTTGGATGATCTGTCTGCTGCTGAAAATAAGTTGTTGAAGTCTGCTACTATTACTGTATTTTTACATATTTCTCCCTTAATTTCTGTTCATATTTGACTTAAGTGTTCAAGTATTCCATTTTAATTCCATTTAAATGGTTATATGTTTTGATGAGTTGATTCCTTTGTCATCATGAAGTGACTTTCCTTGTCTCCTAGACATTTTTTCCTTGAAGCATACATACTTTATCAGATACAAGTACTGTCACCCTTCCTCTCTTTGTTACTATTTGCTTGAGTTTCTTTTCTATCCCTCCAGCTTTGCATAAGACTAGCTATTCATAAAACTTGAGTGGGTCTCTTAGAGGCACCATGTGGCTGGATCTTGTTTTTGCTTAGTCCATTCAGCCACCCTATGTCTTCTGGTTGGAGAATTTATTCTACTTGCGTTTGTGACTATTCTGAGTTGCTTTCTGGTTGTTCTGTAGCTGCTTTCTTCAATGATTTCTCTTGGTTTCCTTAGTGATTGTTCTTTTCTAGTGCTCTGTTTTGGTTTTTTACTTTTTGTCTTCTGTATCTACTACTGACTTTTTGCTTTGTGGTTACCATGAATTTTCCAAAAAAAATAACAGGCTGTGCAGAATAAATACAATATATAGCTGATACATACATATATGCATTTGATAAACAAGTTAATAACAGTTTTACTTGAGTTAACAAACAAAGCAAACCTAACACTTTTATTCCATCACCTCCAATGTAAAGTTTTTGATATTGTATATGCCTTAACAAATAATTGTAGTAAATGTTATTTAAAAAATATTTATTTATTTTGTTTGAAAATCCAAATTGCAGAGAGAAGGAGAGATACACAGTGAGATCTTTTTTTTTTTTTTTTTTTTTATTGGCAAGGCGGATATACAGAGAGGAGGAGAGACAGAGAAGAAGATCTTCCGTCCAATGATTCACTCCCCAAGTGAGCGCAACGGCTGTTACTATGCTGATCCGAAGCCAGGGGCCTCGTCCGGGTCTCCCACGCGGGTGCAGGGTCCCAAAGCTTTGGGCCGTCCTCGACTGCTTTCCCAGGCCACAGGCAGGGAGCTGGAAGGGAAGCGGGGCTGCCAGGATTAGAACCGGCACCCATATGGGATCCCGGGCGTGCAAGGCGAGGACCTTAACCACTTGCGCCACCGCGCCGGGCCCTACACTGTGAGATCTTACATCTGCTGGTTCACTCCCCAAACGACTGCAATGTGGCCAGGCCTTGGGTCTACCTCTGCTGCTTTCCCAGGTCGTAGCAGGGAGCTGGAAGGAAAATGGAGCAGCTGGGGCATGAAATGATGCCCATATGGGATGCCGGTGCCATAGGCTGAGGATTAGCTTGCTATGCCATCTTTCTGGCCATATGAATATTATTCTTAATAACTTTGTTACAGTATTATAATATTCTAAATTTTACTGTGTATTTATTTTTGCCAGTGATGTTTATACTTTTGTGTTTTTTCTGTCACTTATTAGTGTCCATTGGTTTTGGAGTGAGTAACTGACTCTCATCACCATGTCTTGGGGCATAGGTCTCAGGATGGCCTCTCAGCTGCTTGTGCAGGAGGGCACTTCCCACGCCTTCGTTCTGCTGGACAGCCTTTCTGGCTGCGGTGTTTTTGGTTGGCAGTTTTCTCCTCCCCACGCTGTATGCCACCCCGCTCTCAGCTGTGAGCTTCTCTGAGAAGTCTGTTAGCAGGTGTGCTGCCACTCCCTCGTGTGACATTTGCCTCTTTTCTCTTGTGGCTTTCAGGAGCCTCTCTTTGTCTTTGCTTTTTTGGAAGTTAAAAAACTTGGTGTAAACTTGTTTGCATAGAATTTGATTGGAGACTTTTAATCTTCTAGACACTTGTATACTGTTATTTCCCCAACTTTGGGGAGTTCTATGCTGTTGTTTATCTAAACAAGCTTTCTGATCCTTTGTGATTCTTTTCTCCTTGATTCCAGTGGCTCTAGTTTTGTTCTTTTCATACTGTCTCATAAATCCTCTAAACTTTCTTTATTTTCATGTCTATCTTCCCCCGCTGTGTATTTTCAACTGCTTTCCCAGGCCACAGGCAGGGAGCTGGAAGGGAAGTGGGGCTGCCGGGATTAGAACCAGCGCCCATATGGGATCCCGGGCATGCAAGGCGAGGACCTTTAACCACTTGTGCCACCACGCCGGGCCCCACTGTGTATTTTCAAATAGCTTTGTTTTGCACTTACAGATTCTTCTGTTTGATTAATTCTTTCACTGCTGCTCTGTATTTTTAAAAATTTAGCTTACTGCATTTTCTAATTCCATAATATTTTAAAGAATTATTTATTCTTAATGGAAAGGCAGATAAACAGAAAGGGGAGAGACAGAGAGGAAGATCTTCCATCTGACGGTTCACTCTCTAAATGGCTGCAATGGCTGGAGCTGGGCCAGTCTGAAGCCAGGAGCCAGGAACTTCTTTTGGGTCTCCCATGCGGTTGCAGGGTCCCAAGGCTTTGAGCCGTGCTCGACTGCTTTCCTAGGCCACAAGCAGGGAGCTGGATGGAAGTGGGGCTGCCGGGATTAGAACTAGTGCCCATACTGAATGCTGGTGCATTCAAGGCGGGGACTTAAACCACTACACTATCGTGCAGGGCCCATAGTTGCATAATTTTAAAAAATAAAAAATTCTTCTTCTAATGATTTATCACTTCCTGGTTTAACTAAATTATTTTTTCCTGTGGTTTCTTGAGGTTCAGTGAATTCATTAAAACAATTTTGAAATTTTGCCAGATAATTTGTCGACCCCATTTCTTTGGTATCAGCCATTTGATAGACGATCGTGCTCTTTTGCTCTCAGGCACACCAGGATGGCCTAGAACCCGTGACTGTGATCCTGCCTGGCATGGGGCAGGACTAGAAACACAGTCTCACATTTTCCCAGAGCCTGAGACCTTAGGGGCTAGCTTGGTGCTGGGTTGTTATATTTAGCCTGGGACCAGCAGTGCCAGCCTTATGCTGGGCACGGTGTAGAGTGTGAGGCATGGGGGCTGGCTGGTAGTGGGTAGCCTGAAGACAGAGTCTGCCAGGCCAGGAGTTTGGTGCCTTGGGAGCGTTCTCATTGCTGGGTTTGGTTGGAGTGTCTGATGCTGGAGTCTGAGGCAAAAGCTAGGGTTCCTCTTTCTTCCTTCCATCATGCACAAGGTCTCTCTCCACACTGTGCTGCTTCGGTTAGAGGAAGAAGTGGCATGGATCATGCAAAACTGTGCTTCCTGCTCTCTTGAGTGTGTCTCTTCTTAGTACTCGGCTACACCCACATACTGCTAATTTCTAACCTGGTTTCCTTCATGTTTTTTCAGAGTGCTTTTGTGCATGGAGAGTTGTTCCATTTTGCGTTGTTGCTGGCTGGGGATGCCAGAAGGCCCTATCCTGCCATCTTACTGGTTGTGCCTCCCTTCCTGCCCCTGTGTTTTCCTTTTTCCATCCTTAGGAACATTTCTGCTGCGTGAGATTCCTGTGAGACTCCTCTGCATATTCCTTTTGTTCTCATGGCCCTCCCCTGCTTTCAGGAAAGGGTCATTTTCTATCTCTCCTCTATTCCTCCGTAACCCTCACCACTTCTTGACATGTACACTCCAGAATGCTGTCCACTTTCCCTCTTATTTACACACCCACTGGCAATGTCAGCCACTCCATAGGAAGTGAGACCCATTGGTCAGAGCAGGCAGGGGGCAATGCCACATGAGGACAGCAGGAGACACAACAAGCAGCCTGCCCAGTCATCCTAGGACCTCACACTCTGTGCAATACCTTGTCCTTCTTCGTCCAGCCCATTTTCCACATATCTGAGCTATGGTTGGTGATTCTGCAGGTAAACAATTCTTGAGTGGTATAACGCAACCCTATGGTACTCTACCCAGCACCTAATGATGTAATACAATTCTCTCTTGATTGGTCAGCAATCTGTGAAGTTTCCAATCCGGGGAAGGCACTATGTAATCTCTACTCTATGAACTGTTTTTGACTGAGTGGGGTGGTGCAAGTTCCAGTCTAAAGTGGCTGATGAATTTATTGTTTCATTTCTTTTTTTTTTCTCCCTAGAATGGATTCCATGTGGCTCCACTGGATGTTGGCTCTGCTAGTGAGTCTGACCTGGCTGCATTACTCCATGGCTCAAGGCAGAGACTCTCCAGGTAAGAGAGGCACTGCTCTCAAGGTGTGCATTCTACCGTTACCATGGGGAGGGATGACTTTTGCTATAGATCCAAGGCTTTGACTGGACCAGAGGTGGTTTCTAGTTTCAAAGAGTCATGACAAAGGAAGTACTCCTTCCCACAGATTCAAGGAATCAGGAGGCAATGGGAGGGAAACATTTAGTCTTGTTTGGATTCCTTATTGTATCAATGTCAGCCAAGGGCACAGTAAAAGCTGCTGCAGATGCAGTATGAGAATGGCTGCCACTCCCAAACCCTATTCTGATGATTACCATTGTCTCTCTGTTTATTGAAAAGGGGGTAGATGACATGAGCTTGGAAGTAAAGGTGACTTCTGTTACCTGTTAAGATCTGGTTAGAGTGGCAGCACATTTTTGTAAGATTTATTTATCTGAAAGTCAAAATTACAGAGAGAGAAGGAGAGATAGGGGAAGAGAGAGGTAGAGGAAAGAGGGAGAGAGAGGGAGAGAGAAGGAAGGGAGAGCGCGGGGGGGGGGAGAGAAGAGAAGAGAAAAGAGAGAGAAAGAGAAAAAGAAAAAGAAAAAGAAAGCTCTTCCATCCTCTGGGCCATGCTGAAGCCAAGAAGCCAGGAGCATCTTTCAGGTCTCCCACGTGGGTGCAGGGTCCCAAGGCTTTGGACCGTCTTCTGCTATCTCACGCACTAATATTAGCAGAGAGCTGTTGGATCAGAAGTGGAGCAGCTGGGACTTGAACTGGTGCCCCCATGGGATACCTGTTCTGTGGATGGTGATTTCACCTGCTGTCCCACAGCACTGGGCCCAGTAGTACAGCTGTAAGTAAGAGAACTTGTCTACACTCCTGTTCTCAGGGTCCCGAGTGTGAGTTGTCAGTTATTTTTCTAGCTGAAGACACAGATGATGCCAACGCGGGGCAGTGTCAGACCTGAAAGCACTTGTCTGTGAGCGGAAACAGGATGCACTGAGCTAAGAACAGAATCCCCTTTGAATGTACGAGTTTCATTCAGCACAAAACGGGAACAAACCTGAGGGGGAGGGAATCATTGTTCTTAGAGAACAGAAACCTCTCCGAGCTTATAACATGTCCACGGAACAACACAACTGGAAAAGGGCAGCAGATTTAAAATAAGGATGACAAGTTCAGACTCTCTCTGCCTTCCCAGCCAACCCCTCTCCCATGCCCCTTCCCAAGTTCAGCCTGTAGAGGGACGTGGAGAACTAAGTTCCCAGGATTTAGAGGCTGACTGCCCGAGACTGGCTGCTGGAGGGGAGATGAGCAGGTGGGTCCAGGGGCATCCTCCTGTGGCTGTTGGAGGAAGCCTCTGAACTGAGAGCTGAAAGTAAGCTTGCAGCTGAAGATGGACAGCAGTCCTCTTCCCAGAGTTTCCTGAATTTTCTCTCAAGTACTCAGAACGGGGTCCCTCATACTCAGTGAGTTCACATTCAATGAATGCCCAGGACAGAACTCTCCATCCTTCTCTCATCTCCTTTCTCACTTTTCGGCTCTCCAATGAGATCCACTCCAAATATGGCTGGGTGTCCTTAAGCAGGAGGGTGGCTTTAAAAAAAAACACCCATCATGGTTTAATACTATTAAGACATTTATATTTTAGGGCTGGCACTGTAGTATATAATTTATATTTTGGTGCTAGCATCCCATATGGGCACCAGTTAGAGTCTTAGTGGGTACTTTTCTGATCCAGCTCCCTGCTTATGGCCTGGGAAAGCAGTGGAGGACGGCTCAAGTGCTTGAGCCCGTGCACTCATATGAGAAACCTGGAAGAGGCTCCTGGCTTCAATCTAGCCCATGTCCAGCCATTGTGGCCATTTGGCGGGGATGGCGAACCAGTGGATGCAAGAATCCTTTCTCTGTCTCTTCCTCTCTTTCTCCATAACTATGCCTTTAAAAAATAAAAATAACCTTTAAAAATGTATATGAAGGCAATAAATTTTATGCATTTCATGTACACAGTTTTAAGAGTACAATTGCCTCCCACTCGCACCCTGCCCCCTTCAGCCCTCCCTCTTCCTTCCCTCCCTGCATGACAACTGCTTCTCTTCTCAGCACCTTGTGGTGAGCACACTGAGACCCAAAGTTTTCTTCCTCTTAAAATCCCTGTGGTCAGACATAATTTATCAAGCATGGAATTTTCCAGAGGTGGGGACTTTCATTATTGTTTTGCAGAAGATTTTGTGATTCAGGCAAAAGCTGACTGTTACTTCACCAATGGGACAGAGCGGGTGCGGTTCGTGGTCAGATTCATCTTCAACCTGGAGGAGTGCCTGCACTTTGACAGTGACCTGGGGCACTTCGTGGCCCTGACAGAGCTGGGGCGGCCTGATGCCGAGGCTTGGAACAAGCGGCCCGATATCCTGGAGAGGAGCAGGGCGTCTGTGGATCTGCTCTGCAGACGCAATTACAACCTGGGAGCCCCGTTCACTGTGGGGAGAAAGGGTGAGCAGCAGGTGCAGTCTGGCCGGTTTGGGGACCTTCCCCTGGGAAAACCCAACCAGCCGGGAGCTTCCCTGTGAATGATGATTTTCTGTTTCAAGATCCGCGACTTACAAGGGAGGCTGTGGGTTTGTTCTGCTATCAAGGGCGTCTCCCCAAGTATCCTCACCCGTCAGGTCACTGTGGCCTTGGTCTGAGGTTTCGGGGTCCACGGGAGTGGCCCTTGTGGGAGCTCCTGAGGAAGGGCACCAGGGGCGTGGGAGTTCCTCCAGCAGCCCTGTTCTCACCGTGTCTCATTTCCTCTCCCTTCCTAGTGCCACCAGAGGTGACAGTGTCCCTAGCAAGGACACCCGTCCTGCACCAGCACAATGTGCTGCTCTGCTCTGTGACAGGCTTCTACCCAGGGGACCTCAGAGTCAGGTGGCTGCGGAACGGGCAGGAGGAGACTGCTGGGGTCATGTCCACCGGCCTCATCAGAAATGGAGACTGGACCTTTCAGACCACCGAGATGCTGGAAATAACCCCCAAACTTGGAGATATCTACACTTGTCTAGTCGATCACCCCAGCCTGCTGAAACCCATTTCTGTGGAGTGGAGTAAGAATAGTTTCTTGTACACTTTGGGCTCAACTCAGGAGCATACTGACCATTGTGGGGCTTGTGACACCTCCACATTTATCTTGGTCATGGCACGCAGTCTTCTTTCCCCTGATCTAGGGAAATCACAGAAACTGGATCTTTGGGTTGGGCGGGGAAAAGTGTCAGATAGCCATCCTCACGTCATCTCATAAGGAAGGCAGTTTCATAACATCAGTGTTGTTCTCAGCCCTGTGATCCCGTCTCCTCTAATACTTCGGTCCTAGTGTTTAGGGGACGTACTTATGGGCTGTGTGAACTAGTGACAAATGGGAGGCAACTGCAGTGATGCAAATATTGACCTCAAGAACCATTTTTAGATTGATCTCTTCTCTAAGGAGCTTCGGACTTGGTACCCAGTGCAGGCTCTGGGATCTCGTGCACAGAGTATTGGGAGTGTTTGCTAACTAGAGATCTCCTTTCTACAGGAGCTCAGGTTGAACATTCCTGGGCAAAGATGCTAAGCGGAGTTGCAGGCTTCCTGCTTGGGCTGATCTTCTTTTTGGTGGGCATCTTCACCTACCTCAGGGCTTGGAAAGGTAAGGACCCTGTCACCTGTCCTGGGGTTTCCCAACTCCCATTTAAGTCCTTAGCATCAACGGTGTGAGGTGAAGGTGGCTGGCTGTGCTTCTTAAGGATTGCCAGGATAGGTGTCCCTAAAGCCAGAAACGTCCCTGGTCAAGTGCATTGCAGCCATCCCTCCTGCCTCAGGACAAGTTTGACATCTGGTCTGAATAAGGGCGTTCCTGTCTTTCTGCTTTCCTCCTAGGCTGCATGGAGACTCAGCGGTCTGCTGCTGCTGAGGTAGAGTCTCTTGGTGACACATCATGCTGTTCGGTCTCTGGTCAGAGGGAGGGTTCGTGGGGGTGAAGGAGGGCGAGGGTGGTTCTGGCTGCGTTGTGTTGACTCTTGAGTGCCCAAGGTGGGCAGGAGAGGTGGTCTCACAGAACTCCTTTGCTGTTCTCCACAGGTCTCAAGAGTTGGTTTTCCATCACAACCATATTAAACTCCTTAACTGGATCTTCTCCCAAAAGCCAGAAGGAGTAGCCCGGGCTCCAGGCTTCACCAAGCATGGTCATGAGGATCCTGTTCTGGGACGGACCCTTTGCCATGATCCCTGGAGGAGTTCTGAATTGATTCTAGTTTTGTGTCCTGAGATGGTGCACTCCTTTCCCATGCCCCTTCTTCCTCTTACTGAGGCCTTATTAGCCCCATCCCCAAGGATGCGGTCCAGAAATTTCTAGAAAAACAAAGATCCTTCCAGACCCAAACTACCTTCCCTTCCATGATCTAACCCTAATTCTCTAGGTCATGAATCCTCATCCTCCAGTTGCAGCCCCCACAGTCTGCAGAAGACAGATACTCAGAGCTGCTATTTTTTCACCATTTTAAAAAAGATTTATTTATTTTTATTACAAAGTCAGATATACAGAGAGGAGGAGAGACAGAGAGGAAGATCTTCTGTCTGATGATTCACTCCCCAAGTGGCCGCAACGGCTGGTGCTGCACCAATCCAAAGCTGCGAACCAGGAACCTCTTCTGGGTCTCCCATGCGGGTGCAGGGTCCCAAAGCTTTAGGCCATCCTTCACTGCTTTCCCAGGCCACAGGCAGGGAGCTGGATGGGAAGTAGAGCTGCTGGGATTAGAACCGTGCCCATATGGGATCCAGGCATGTTCAAGATAAGGATTTTAGCCGCTAGGCCTTGGCACTGGGCCCTTCATCATTTTTTAAACAAAAGGATTTTTATTTTGAAATAAAGCAGAAATATGGGTAGTGTGAAGAAATGTATGAGTTAATGAATTATTTAAGATTTAACCCTTTTAGTCATCAACTAGATCAAGAAACAGATTTTTGGGCAAGGTGTTATGGCACAATGGGTTAAGCCGTTGGCCAGTTCAAGTCCGGGTTCCTCCCTGCTTCTGATCTGGGTTCCTGTTAACTCATTGGCAAGCAATAGATGATGGTCCAGGGGCTTGGGTTCTTGTCACCCACATGTAGTTCCTGGCTCCGGGCGTTTGGCTCAGTCCTGCCTCTGGTGTTGCAGGGACTTGGAAAGTGAATGGAAGATCCTCCTTTCTCTATCAGTCACAGCTGCTCGCCTTCCCTGAAAAGCAGACCCAGCCTGACTTTGATGGCTTATCTTTCTTGTGGTCTTGAAAAAGTCTACTCACCCGAGTGTGCATTCTAGAAGCCACTTCTAGCTGCTTCTCTTTTTGTGATGTTAGCAACCATCAATAACAATGGCTTAGGTCTTTTAATTAAATGGAGGCTGCAATAACAGTCCGTTCTGACTCTGTCATTTCTCCTTCATTTGCTTATTGCTTCTATAAAGGGCATCTCTTCATGTACTGTTGGCCACCCAGTGGCACAGTGGAATGGCAGAATCAGAGCTAAATTCTCCCCTTTTATGCCAGTTTTCAAGTAATCAAGTTGATTTCCTACTATAATTCCCAGGTGATCAAACAGGTCTTATTTTTATATTTCTGTTGTATCACTATGAACTAAGGTTAAAATGCATTTGATGAGTTTTAGCACATTGCAATTTTTATCCCTGTTGAAGTCCTAATATTCCATTTTTGATGAATGGAAACTACTATAAATGGATGTTTTGTTTTTACACACCCAAAATGAAATATGGTTTTTCTGATTGTCTGGTATAATAAAACATTTCAGCTTTATCTGTGTAGTTTTGCTGGTCAAACCTAGAAGTAGACTTTTTCTTTTTAAAGATTAATTTATTTTTACTGGAAAGGCAGATCAGATTTGCGGAGAGAAGGAGAGACAAAGAGAAAGATCTTCCATCTGTTGGTTTACTCCCCAAATGGTTGCAATGGCCGGAGCTGAGCTGGTCAGCTTCTTCCAGGTCTCCCATTTGGGTTCAGGGTCCCAAGGCTTTGGGTCATCCTCTATTGCTTTCCCAAGCCACAGGCAGGAGCTGGATGGAAAATGGAGCAGCCAGGATATGAACCAGTGCCTAAGGGATCCTGGCGCTTGCAAGGTGAGGATTTAGCCGTTGAGCCATCACGCCAGGCCTGCCATGTGGTGTTTGACATCAGTGTGTATTATGAAGTATCGGATAAGGCTAAGCAGCTGTTTAAACACTTATCATTTCTTTTGGGTAAAAGCAGTCTTGTAGTTATTCTGAAGTGTACGGTACAGGGTTGCTGTCCACAGTCACCCTCCCGTGCTCCTTCCACGTGTCTCACTGTAGCTTAGTACGCCCTCATCCACACTTTCTCATCCCTCGTCTCCCCTAAATTCTCCAGCCTCTGGTAACCAACATGAGACTCTGAATTTCAAGGACATGAACTTGTTTAGATTCCACCAGTGAATGAGGTCATGTGGTACTTGTCTTTTCCCGTGCTTGGCAGATTTCACTTAACATGTTTTCCAGTTCCATCTAAAGTGTCACAAGTGACAGAATTTCATCCTTTTTAGGGACTGAATAGTATTCTGTTGTATATATGCAGTACAATTCTTTATTTATAAAAGCATTTTTAAAGTTTCAATATTTAACTTTAAAAACCATTCTGCCTGTGTGTACATGTAATCTGTTATCTTGAGTCATTAGGTAAAGGACATGCAGGCTGTTTGCATCCTGGCTGTTGTGACACTGCAGACACAACTGGGTGTGCAGCTGTCTCCTCACCATACCGACTTCATTTCCTTTAGGTATTTACCCAGCATGGAGTTCCTGGATCACGTGCTGGTTCTGAAGCTTTCATATTATTTCTCATAATGGCTGTATTGATTCATACTCTGTGTAGCAGGATTCCCTTTTCCCAAATGTGCAAGCATTTGTTGCTTTTGTCTTTTTGACAACAGCCATTCTAACTGGCATGAAGTGACACCTCATTGTGGTTTGAATAAATCATGAATTAAAGTGACTGAAAATTCTGTTTTATGAGCTTATATAGTTTATAATGGGGAAATTTAAAATTACATAAATCTATGCATTTCAAATGCATATATTTAAAAATTAATCTATTTTATACAACTTTTGCATCATCTTAGTTTTTTGAAAGACTTATTTATTGCTACTTGAAAGTGAGAGTTATGACCAAAAAGGAGAGACAGAGAGCTTTCAACTGCTGATTTATTCCCCAAATGGCCATAACGGTCAGAGCTGGGCTGGTCTGAAACTGGGAGCTAGGAATTTCTTTGGAGTCTCCCACATGGGTGCAGGGACCTAAGGACTTGGGCCATCCTCCATTGCTTTCCCAGGCCATAAGCAGAGAGCTAGATTGGAAGTGGAGCAGTGGGACTCAAACTGGTGCCCATATGGGATGCTGGTACCACAGGCAGAGGCTTAGCCGACTCAGCCACCACACCAGCCTCTCTCCTTTCTTTCTAATCAAGAATTCTGCTTCTCAGGGCACAGTGACAGACAAAATTAGAATGTCATTTGCTTCCTTAATCCACATACACAGTAGCTAAGGATATAGGGTTCACATCAGACCACTAATATGATTACTGAACAGTTAAAATTTCTTTTACCTTTGATTTCCCCCGTATTCTCTAATGCTTCTGTCTGAAGTAGTGGGTTGTTTGCTGTTACAGAGACTGCTCACGCTCGTGTGAGTTCGCTCTGTGAGTGATAGCACTGTACTCACCGCCCTTCCTCCAGCAACGTCCCTGTGAGGCAGGGATCGCAAGGTGCGGCTTACTGAGCCCACAGAACCCACGGAACTCTTACAAGTGAGCCAGGAGGCCACGGCTGTTTTGTAACACTAGCCAAATGTCATTTAATCTTTCACTGATGTTTGCCCTGGTGGTACAAAACCTGTGGTGCAGAATGACTGTTGACTGAGCACCGACCCAGGCAGTGACACTAAACTATGTGGGCAGGCGGTAGAGTCCCTCCGTGCCAGGCATTTGCCATGAAATGCCAGGTTCACTTAGGAATGGCCTTGATGAGTCATTACTTTCACTAAATCTCCAGCCTCGTAAACATCGTTTTAAGGTTAGTGTGACAAAGCAAGCATATGTGGATGTATAATTGTTTGGGTGTAAACAGCCATTTACTCTAAAGAAGCGCCATTTCTCCTTTAAGGAGTGACTAACAGGCATACGCTGTGGTTACTGGGTGTGGGCGTTTGGTAAACATTTTCTCAAATTGGACAAAATAAGGCTACAACTTTAAGGAAAACCATACTGATGGTGAAAAGTGAGATTTCCTAGAGAAAATGAAAGGTTTTGGAAACTGGTATTTGCTGTAGCCCCCACCTCTTTTATTATTATTATTTATGAGTTGGGAATGACATGAACAAAATTTTTTAAGTGTATTTACTTGTTTGAAAGACAGTTATGGGGAGGGGGGAGTGAAGAGGGGAGAGAAAGAGAAAGAGAGAGAGAGAGAGCGAGCCTACCATCCTCTGTTTCACTCCCCAAAGAGCTTCTTGGTCTAGGTGAAGCTGAAGCCAGGAACCTGGTACTCCGTCCAAGTCTCCAACAAGGGTGCAGGGCCCAGGGACTTGGACCTTCTCCCACTGTTCTCTCAGGTGCATTAGTAAGGAACAAGACTGGAAATGGAGCAGCTGGGCCTACAGAAATACACCTGATTTTCGTGTGTATCATGCATCCTGTAATTCATTTATTCAATTTAAATAGTTTATATATAGATTCTCTAGAATTTCTATGTGACCTCTGAAAGTAGAAACAATTTTGTTTCTTTTTTTTGCAACCTGTATGCTTTTTATTTCCTTTTCCTGTCTATTGCATGGACTAGAACTTTTTCTTTTTGGTTTTAAGATTTATTTATTTTCATTGGAAAAGGCAGGTTTATAGAGAGAAGGAGAGACTGAAAGATCTTCTACCCACTGGTTCACTCTCCAAATGCTGCAATGGCCAAATCTGCGTTGATCTGAAGCCAAGAGCCAGGAGATTCTTCCAGTCTCCCTCATGGGTTCAGGGTTCCAAGGCTTTGGGCCATCCTCTATTGCTTTCCCAGGGCACAAGCAGGATGCTGGATGGGAAGTGGGGCAGCCAGAACATGAATCGGCATCCATATGGGATCCTGTGCTTGCAGGTGGAGAATTAGCCATTTGAACTGTTGTACTGGCCCCTGGCTAGAAGTTCTAATGCTATGTTTAGTGTCTTGTTCTCTGTGTTTGGAAAATATTCTGTGATTTTCCACTAACTGTGTCTGCTGTAAGGTTTTTTTTTTTTTTTTTAACAGATGCTCTTTACCAAGTTGGGCAAGTTCCTTTTTTCTTATTTCCTCAAGATTTCTTGTGAATTGACATTGAATCATGTAAGCTAGTTCCCTGTATACATTAATTATCTTTTAGTGTAACTGCCTTTTCTCCTGTTTGCCGAGTGAGCTACTTTTCCCCACGTAAAGCTCATGTGAAGTCTTTGAATGTGGACTGTCATGCATTAACTCCTTTTGCAGCTTCCGACCTGAGCTATTTCAACTACTTAAGCTAGGAGATCACACTTCTATTT